TCTATTGGCTCTAACGGTCAGAAAGAGGTGTCAACCATCCAAATCGACCAAGGGGGGCCAGAGATATGGAAAAGATAACATTTTCACCCAAATCACCTCAGAGGTGGAGTGGTTTTGGCTAAACCTCTCTAAAAAGGTAAAATGTCACTTGTTTTGCATCAATCTTGATACAGGGTACTTATTATATGTTGTACTTTGGATTCCTAAAGCTTTTAGTCTACTAACCCATCATCCAAGGGTAGTTTTCACTATAAGTAAAAAAGAATTTTTGGACGGACACTATAATTTACAGTTTTTTACTATGTAAAATCTGAATTTTCTTTAAAATAAAAAACATCTAGATTCTGACACTTCTATATCCAACTCACAGATGTAACCTTGCTTTGATAAAAGAAATTATTCATATAACCCTTTTAGAAGTTAAGTTGTAGTCATTTGTTTTGGGCATGTCATTTTCGAGCCTGAAACATGAAAAACAGGCTTGGTGCTTAACAGGTTAACTGCTGGAGAAGAAAGATCAGGGGGGGGGAGAGCTGTGGCTGATGGGCCATTAGGTGTGTAAACACACAGCTGAGAGCTGCCGTTTCATTCAGACTGTTGAAAAAACGGTAACAACGGACTATTTTTCTTAGCGGATGCATGTCAATTTAAATCAATACATACAACTATTTTTTAAATCAATAAAAACATTTTCTAAATTCATAAAAGCATTTCAATTAATATTGGGAGTCATGTCGTTACTTTGTTGAGAATGTGGCCATGTAATAAGCTGAGTTTAGGCACGTTAATAACGTTTTAATGAAGTTGACTAAAGTATATTCATATTTGTCAGTGCCTTCATGTCAATTTGGCGAACATAAACATAAATGATCGTGGTGAAGATGATGATTAAATTAGGATTACAAATCGAGAGCCGCATTTCCTCCCGTTCGTTTTTGGAGCCGGCGGGCTTCCCGATGTTTTTTGTACAGTAGTTGTGGACTAAACAACATTATTTTGTTAAATAAAAACATGGTGATGTTTTGTAAATGATTACATGTCTCTTATTTAGCACAGAGTATGATCCTATCCGTAACATATAGATCTTAACAAAGATCCGCTATACAGTAGTACCAGACATAAATCTACCGTACTGTATCAGAGTTTATTTCACATGAGCTCCAGTGTGGAACCCCACTGCACCCCCTGGTGGATCAATGATCCATTGCAGCTGGCTTCATCATAATTACATTTATTAATCAAGGGGCGGTCTCAAGTCACGCTGGAGGTTGTCCTTTGAGCGAGGGCAGAGCCCGTGCCGGCCACGGCCCTCGCATTTTAAACTGTCCGAAATGAGGTGCTAACTCTGTAGATCATTGAGTTAATATTAGGGATGTAACGATGCATCGTGAATCAGTTAAAAAACGGTACAGATGCGTTAAGATGAAAATCGGTTGAGCTAAAAAATTATTCGCGATGCAATTTTTTAAACGGCACAGGGCGTGAACACATTTTCAATTGATTCGCTGGAACAGCAGTCTGGACATGATTAAACGCTATCTAGAACAACAACTTGCCGTGGCAGCTGCTCTCAGTGCAGACGTCCGACGAAATGCCCGTGAAATTGACACACTGGATAACTCGGACATCCGTGATGCCGTGTAGTGCTGCCGGAGCAGGCTCTTTGAAGGGAGCCGGATCTTATGGCTCCGTTCCTTTCCGAGAGCCGTTCAAAAGAGCCTTTTTTTTAAGGGGGCGGGGTTACTAGGTTTATCTGCGAAACAATCACCAGGATAATGATTTACTTTTTACTCACAGAAAAAGATTTATAACTTTTATAACATTTTTATATAACATTAAAAAGACTGATTCTTATTATTACATTATAAGCTTATTGTGCTCATTTTATGTTGCTGTGACTTTGGAATAAATAGACGTTTTTAGCCTGCAATACAGAGTAGCAAGGCCAGGTGCACACTGCAGAGACAATGAGTTATTGAGGCTCTGGCCTTGGCAGTGTGTGTGTGCTCAACGCCCCCGCATAGCTAGGAAGCAGCATTATGAAGGTTTTCCACTATAACTGTAGAAATGTTAGCGAAAACAAATTACGTATGATGGCGACAGAGTAGGGAGGGACTTCGCCAGCCGGCCGAATGCTGATTGGGGGTTGTGTTGCCAAGAGACCTTATCTGAGTCTGTGCACCAACAAGAGAGAGCCAAAGTCTAAACCAAGGTTACTCTCCATCTAGTCTCAACCAATCATAAATGTACGGGCAACGCCCTGTGAGATAAAATGTATTGTCGCACGAGGTTCGGGGCTCTTTCCGGAAATAGTGGTTAGAGATTACAGCTTTGCTGCCTGTGATTTCTATGACGTGACGGAGCCCTTGGCCAAGTGAATATATATATATTTTGCTCTCTTATAATAAATAGTTAAACTTAGAAGTTGTCTGTCTTTCCTGGAATTTTGAACACAACACTTGCTACATCTCTCAGCCAGCCAAACTACTACTCAAGCACCATGCGTTATGCCATCATCTATGGCAAATTTGCATTCAGGAAAGCAAGTTCCTTTAAAGGCGAGTGGATTTATGGCAGGCAGTGAACCAACGATAAAAAGAACGGCTCTCACCAAGTAGGACTCGGTTCCCTTCGTTCGTACCAAAGAGCCATTCAAAAGAATCGGATCGTTCGCGAACGTCACATCACTAAAACATTGCACTACCCATAAGGAGCTGTACACATGCCGCAGTTTTTGCGTGGCTGTGTCTTTAGTTGAAAGCCCAGTGGCGATCTGTCATACTGATCATACAATAAAGCCATCGAAAATAATATGATACAGTACAGTACAAGTACTTATGGGTGTCTGTGTTTCATTCAAGCTCGGCTCTGCGTGTGTGTGCGAGCAAGCGAGAGCAGGGGCGGTTCTAGGGGGGGCCAACAGGGACCAGTGCCCCTGTAACACTGACCAGGGACCCCACTGTGGACCCCCTTCAAAAAAAAGGTTAGAATATTACGATTTATTGGAACTAAATCAAATCAGAGACCCGGATGTACAGTGGAGATTAAAATGTTCATTACTTTATAAAAGCAAATACTGTTTATGTTTTTTAGTTAAATTGTCAGTTGAGAGTTTTGAGAGCTGTATCCATAGGTCTAGTCTCTTGATCGAGCAGAGCATACATTTCAAGCTGCACTTTATTAAAACGATAAAAGTATTGTGAACTTAAAATCGTATCGAAACGTGAGTTGAGTGTATCGTTACATCCCTAGTTAATATACATGTCTAAACAGAGAGAAGGATGGTAGATTATGGTGGGTCAAACTCAGTTTGTTTGGAAAGTCTTGACCTTTCCTAATATCTTAATATTTGAAAGGTTATATTCAGTGTAAGACTAAGTTCTCGAAGATACCTACACAGCAACAAAAGTTTATTCTGGATTACCCCTTACCTGCAACATATTTGACAAGCTGCCACAAATGATACCAGATGATGAGCAACGCAGATGTCAACTGAACCTGTCTTTTTCCTGGTCTGAAACCCATGTGGTTGCAAGTTCCAACACCATCGTGAAGTTTGCTGATGACACAACCGTCATCGGCCTGATCACCGACGGCGATGAGACGGCGTACAGAGAGGATGTCGAAAACCTGACATTTTGGTGCCAGGATAACAACCTCCATCTCAACGTCAGCAAAACCAAGGAGCTGATTGTGGATTACAGGAAGCATCAGGGAGAGGGACACGCCTCCATCGCCATCAATTGGACTACGGTGGAGAGAGTCAGCAGCTTCAGGTTCCTCGGTGTCCACATCAGTGAGGACCTTACATGGACTCTTCACACAAACACCATCACCAAAACAGCTCGACAGCAGCTCTTCTTCCTCCGCAGGCTGAGGAGGTTCAACATGGACTCCAGGATACTCTGCAACTTCTACAGGTGCACCATAGAGAGGATCCTGACTGGCTGCATCACGGCCTGGTACGGCAGTTCCACCGCCCTCAACCGTAAGACTTTACAGAGGGTGGTGAAAACTGCACAGCACATCGCCAGGACGGAGCTGCCATCCATGGAGGATCTTTACTCCCAGCGGCTCAGGAAAAAAGCCCTCAGGATTATCAAAGACCCCCATCACCCCAGCCACAAAGTGTTCTGCCTGCTGCCGTCTGGCAGGCGGTACCGCAGCATCAGGACTAAAACCACCAGGCTCAGAGACAGTTTCATCCCACAGGCCATAAGACTGTTAAACAACTGAACTAAAAACATCCATAACATTCACCTGTTTGCAACTTACAAATTATGTATCACTTATAGACTCTTATCGTACTACTTCTATTCTATTTGATTGTATTTACTTGCACTGTTTTATCTGTTTATTGTGTTGCACTGTTGGAGGAGCCTGGGACCTAAGATTTTCCTCGACATAATTACACTGTAGCTATGTACGAATGACAATAAAAGCCTTGAATCTTGAATCTTGAATGTGTGACTAACATTTCTCAGTGGTTGTCTGCAGACCAACTTGAAGCACAACCTAGACAAAACATCCCCCATCCATGACCCTTCTATCAACATCGGCACTTCTGTTGTTTCCCCGTATCAGAATCAAATCAAATCAAATCAAGTTTTATTTATATAGCACATTTTTAAACGATTTTTGGTCGAGCCAAAGTGCTGTACATATAATAAAAATACCCTACAGTAAAGACACTTTACAGCAAATACAACAGCACAGTTTGTTCAGAATATCAGTATGAGAAAAATGACACCCACTGTCCTTAGACCCTCACATCGTACAAGGAAAAACTTCCAGAGAAAAACCCACATTTCAAAGCGAAAAATGGGAGAAACCTCGGGGAGAGCAACAGAGGAGGGATCCCTCTCCCAGGACGGACAGACGTGCAATAGATGCCGTGTGTAAGAGAAGGAAGGAACCTGGGTGTGACACTGGACGACCAACTGTCCTTCACTTCCAACATCGCTGCTACAACCCGCTCCTACAGATACACTCCGAGAACATCAGAAGGATACGTCCACTACTGACACAGAAGGCATCAAAGGCACCAGAAAAGCAGGAAATCCTGTATAAACAAGAAAAATCACATCCCTGAACATTACATTACCTTGAATGATCAAGCAGTGGGTGCTTGGGAGTGCTGCAGTATTCACTACATCAGCAGCAGTGGCACAGGTCTGTAACAAAGTAACACACAATAGCATAGATTTAACATTATGCAAGGATGAAGATCATTAATTGGTCAGAGGTAAATCAGAACATAATAAATGGTCTAATAATAATAATTACTTGCATTTATATAGCGCTTTTCAAGACACCCAACGCGCTTACAAATGGACGTCCACAAACCAATGTGTAGCCCCCGCCTGGGTGATGCTAAGGCAACAGCTAATCCGCGCACTACAGCTCACCACACATCAGCTCGGCCCATTTAGAGCAACTTGGGGGTTAAGTGTCTTGCTCAAGGACACTTCCGACATGCGGACAGTCAGAGCCAGGATTCGAACCACCAACCCTACGGTCGATGAACGACCAGCTCTACCAACTGAGCTTCAGTTGCCCCTAATGTAATCACTCGTTTAGCATTTTAAATATTTAAATAAATTAAAAAAACGTACATCAACTTCGAGCATCAGTTTCTCCGTAGGCTCCTTGAAGTACACCATAAGGAGCAGGAGGATGCAGGCAGCCTTCTCCGAAGCCTCTGGATCATAGCTGGCCAGAACTTCCCTGATCTTCGGGTTGTCCAGTTTCTGGCAGAACTGCAGGATGGTCTGTCCTCTCTGACCCAGGGCCTCTTGGAGCTTTTGAAGGATGTTGACGTCCGTCAGGATGCCAAAGTGGGAGAAAAGCCCTCTCTGAGAGAAGAGAAAAGGCCATTCCTCTTTGACCTCCAACATCGCTGGTGCAGGCATTCTGTTGAGGTACCTCCGCAGGATGACGTAGGTCCTCTCCATCATAGGTTCTGCTCTCTCTGCCCCACCCATCCCTTCCTCTGTGTACAGACATACAAATACATGTTTGAGAGTACCCAAGTAACAACAATTAAATTCAATGTCCCCACCTCTGGGAAATTTTGAGTGTCAAACCTTTAATTTCATGCTCTCATCATTACTCATTCTGAATATTAAGGTGGCCTTTTTGCTTAATGTGGGATGTTTATTCAGGTGTCAATTCACCAAAAATAAAAGTAGATTGCATGCCTGAGTAGATGTTCCGCAGATCCCTTTTCAAATCCTCCAACGTTGCCTCGGTCTCCCCCTCTGGTAAGTCTGCTGGGCACCACCTCACACACCTAGGGATAGGAATCATAGGTTAACTCAATACTATTGGGAGCGGTTGTAGCTCAGAAATTAGAGCCGGTCGTCTCATGACCAAAGGGTCGGCGGTTCGAATCCCGGTTCTGACTGTCTTCTTGTCAAAGTGTCCTTAAAGGGGCAGAGTCATGCATATGCATGTTTACTGCATTATAATATACAATGTATGCTTCATATTTTAGGAAAGAATCATAAAAAATGGATTTGTGTTTTTTTAGTTTTATGTTTGAGAGAAGTTCCAGCATTATTTACTACATTTCCCATGTCTCCTTGCGGGAGGTTTGATTGCACTGCACCTGGTGCACCCTGGAGGAGCCCGACAAAGTTGGAGTTTTTCACAGGCTAGAAAACCAGTCCAGGTGACATCATTTGGACTGGTTTTGGAGTGGGAACATTTCAATTATTTCAACCCCTAATTGGTCCCAACGGGTCGTGTCAGCGCCTTGCATGGTTGCTGGTCGCCATTAGTGTGTGAGTGTGTATGTTCGCCGCTTCTCAGTGTGTGAATGAGAAGACCATTGTAAAGCACTGGGTGTCCTGAAAAGAGCTATGTAAATGCAAGGAATTATTATTATCATTACTGTAACCTTCAAAACCTTCAACGAACAATAATTGCAATATCTGTATTTTGTCCACCCCTACACATACCCGTATTGGTCGACAGGACCTCTCATCAGTCTGGACTCTCCTGCCACTCCAGTGTGCCGTCTTCCCTCTCGGCCTCGGCGGCGTCGAGCCAGAGTGTTGTTCCTGGTTTTATACTCCACTCTTGTTTTAACTTGTTGGAGAAGAGAGGGGCATCCGTCTCCAACAACTTCACCTCGCCTGCTAATGTCAGCATAGCTTTTTCGATGGCTCCTGACAATTGTTCGGACGATGCTGTGGCACATGGCTCTGGTTGGGTTGCGCTCATACTGCATCATCTGATCCACCAACGCGTTCACAAAGGCCCTTCTCTCATCTGGCATTGGTCTTTCTTCTTTTTCCACTGCACGTTGAATGGCTATTGGCATCTGGTTCCAGTTGACACGAAAGTCTACATGCCATGGCATGCCAGGTTGTGAAGACTGTGAGGAGCTTGGGGGGCTGGACAACAGGTTATGTGGAGGCCGGAATGCTTGCGGAGAGGCCAGAGTGTTCGCGGAGCTTGATGTTGGGGAACTTGAAGCAATTGGATGGGGAGGGAGCACCTCCATATTAATCGTTACAAATCCTAGAAGGGACAAAAACAATTCATAAATGAAGGCAGGGCAAGATGTAGGGCTAGGGGCCCAATTGTCTACCACTTGTGCCAATGTTCAAAGGGCCTAGTTCTAAGTGTCATGTGAGTCAAAATATGAATTTACCTTCCTTAATACCATTCATCATCTTCCGACACTGGATTGGTTTAAGGTATCTGACCAGATCCTTCTCCTCCATTAAGGCCAGATCTTCGATACTCTCCACTCCAAGCTCATCAAGTAGGGTATCAGCAAGTCATCAGGGTAAATATGACCAAACTGCTTCCTTTATAGCTTCCATTACCTAGTCTCATTGGCATTAACTGTCAACAAAATCAACTATCTTCAAGGTTACAACTAAAAACTGAGCTTTAGTTTGCCATGACTACAGTGTGCGAAAAAGTACCCGTCCCACCGCCCGGGACGTGTTATTTACAATGTCGGACAAGTAGATCTTTCAATTGACTTGTCCAGCGGACAAGTGACGTTTTTAGCCCTCATTTATTGACAAATTATTGATAAACTCAGTTTACAAAATGCAGAACTCATTCGCAAATTGTCCGTGTCCGCCATTGTTAGTTTAGAAATGTTAGTTTCGGTTCTGCTTGTCGATTCGGAAGGAAATGCATCTCGCCGCTTTCTGTACTGTTAGACGGGGGCGGGGCAGTGCGGGACGTGTAGCACAGTGGCAGGGTTGGGAAGCAAAACTCGGTTCCGAGTAGGAACAAATAACAATTGTCCGGTACCGGGATTAATAAGAGTTGTGAGGACAGGAGGCCGAGCCCCGCGGACCGCAGCTCTCTCTCTCTGCTCCGGATCATCTGATCGCTGCACGGTGCAGTTCAGCGTCTCTCTCTCTCTCTTTCTACACACAGCGGACCCGCTGCCCGTTTAACAGCCTAATCTTTGTCAAACTTTCTTATGTTCTTTCTTTAACACGTAATGAAGGTTATTAAGCGTTTTAGCTCCTATGTTGTTAATATTGACCGCCATTTCCTTTATGAAGTAAATCAGCCTCCCTGTCTGTGTCCTCGCGCTGTCCTCACATCCCCCGACCCCCAGACTCGGAGGAGCACTCCGTACAATCCGAGTATTGTTTATGAAGCAGGGTATAGAAAATACATTATTGAAATTAAAATTGTATTTACTTTTACAAACAGTGAGCAGCTGGGCAGCTGCAGCATGTGTATTGCAGGACATGTGTAAGCGTCTTTGAGTTGTAGAAAAGCGCTAGGCCTATATGCTATAAATATAATGTATTATTATTATTAGGCCTATGTGTTGGACATGTGTGGTTGGACTCTGTCTCACAGGCAGGTTGCAGTGTAACATCAGAGGAGACTGGGCCAATTGTACATTCTCAAACTGCACCACATAGAACTAACTAAACAATGCAGAGATTATTTTTATATAATTGTATTCAATAACCGTAAGAAATTAAACAGTATGAAGTGATTTCTAAATAGGAATACAGATTTGACTTAATGTTTTCATAAATATGTTTTTCTCCCAGTTTGTCATGGGACTTATTTTTACCCTCTCAAAGAACCGGAATCGAGAACCGAAAATAACCGGAATCGAAAAGCAGAACCGGAATCGTTAAAATCCAAACTATACCCAACCCTAGGTATGTGTGATGCAGTAAAATCTTACCGCTCACTTACGTTAGCGGTGACGTAAAAATCGTGGGGAAAAGTAAAATACGTTGGCGAAGAAGAAGATTCCAGTGGCCCCAATTTTTGTCCATTCTGGACAAGTGAAAAATGTATTCGGACAAGTAAATTGCCAAACTCACTTGTCCATGGACAAGTACTCTCTAAAAACTTTTTCTCACACTGGACTAAATAGCCTGCTCCATTACTTACGTCTGTCCTCACGTCTCTCATGTCCTCCCTTTCCTCCCCGTCTCTCATATCCTCTCTTTCCTCCCTGTTTAAACTGCTTCTGGAAAAGAATGGTGGAGAGCAATAAGCATCTGATCATACACGTTGTATGCTGGAAGAGGATAGTAGTCCAGTAGATCTTCGTGCTTAATGCATACATAATCCTCTTGGGCCACTCCTAAGTCACAGTACACACCTATGTCACTTAACTTCACAGAAGTGTGTTTCTCTGACAAAGTGGACAGAGTTATGGGCAACAATGACCAGTATAATCTTCCCCATGTGAAGTCCTTCATCCCTGTTCCCAAGCAAGATGAACATCCCCTTTCTGTAGTCTGTGTTTTTGACTGTAACATTGTTAGAAGCCACTGCAGACTGAGACTCGAATTGACAACTGGCTACAGATGCCCTGATCTTGTCGTTGTAAATTTGTAAATACAAATCAGTCCCCTTCTCTACCTGTATAAGTGAAGGGAACAAGTTTCCCGCACTCAGGTAGGCCTGGAGAAGTTGGTGTCTCTCTGATAGAGTTTTGCACAGATTTTTGAAATTGTGCAATTTTCTATGGGCTCAGAACAGTCTCATAATACACACATGCACACAGAAGGATTCACACTTGTATTTCATGATCCGCAAAAGGATTCACACTTGTATTTCCGGATCCACACTTGTGTTTGACAATGCACACACAAATGTGTTCCGTTTCATATACATGTAAATAAAATCCAAATACAGAAAAAGGTTTTACATATGTATTTTTGATCCTCACATATTTGTTTTCCGTTTAAAACCCCTGCACCTACAAACACAAACCGCTTTCTGTGCATGGATCGCTGTGCATTCGTGTGTGGGTTTTTTGAGACTCCCCTGACGGTGACCCGATTCGTACTTGTAATTTTTTCTATCTATAGCCAATCAGATGTCTCCTCAATTCTAAGCCAATCACATGAGCGCGCCCCCACGAGGGTAGATTTCTTGCGTTCATGACGTAGCGCTTCATGTACGCATTTTGCGCTGTCCGGAGCTGACAGGTCCATGGAGCCTGCCAATCTCAGGACACCTCCACTCTCAGTACATTGCCACTTTCCGAACAGGAAATGCACGCAAATACAAGCCTTTATATTATTAAGGTACAGCGCCACTTTCCGAACCATTAATGAATGCTTGTGCATGGGCGTAATTTCCACTGGGGACAGGGGGGACATGTCCCCCCCACTTTTCCAAATCCCGTATGTGTCCCCCCCACTTTCAAATGTGTTTATTTTTAACCGCATACGGCCCGTCATCGCCACGGAGGAGCTGGACACTGACAGCCTGCCTCTGTGGCTGCGCGCGCACGCGACTAGGAATGTCGCGTGCATAAACTATAAATAGCCCAATGAATGATGATCAAGTAGCCTACTGCGGTCATGACAGAAAAAAACAATGAAACGCCAACAGCAGCAGTGCTTGGGTGAAAAGAAAGAAAGGAGATGTGAGTTGGTTGATTCAGTAAATTAACTCAGGATAATCATATTTTCTGTCTACACCTGTTGATGTTCGGCTAATGCCGGATTTGCTAGCTTGATGCTACCGGCATTTACCGGCAGTTACTCTCTACACACAGCGGCTCCGCTGCCCGTTAAACAGCTTCATCTTCATCAATCTATCTTATGTTCTTCTTTCTCCAACAATTAATGAAGGTTATTAAGCGTTTTAGCTCCTTTGTTGTTAATATTGACCGCCATTTGCTCTATGAAGAAAACAAGCCTCCCTGTCAGTGTTCTCACGCTGTCCTCACATCCCCGGACTGTGGGACAGACTCGGAGGAGCAGAGGCAGGGGCGGTTCTAGGGGGGGGCCAACAGGGGCCAGTGCCCCCCTCCAAAAGAATTGTTACAATATTACGATTTATTGGAACTAAATCAAATCAGAGACCAGGATGTACAGTATATATTAAACTGTTCATTACCTTATATAAAACCAAATAATTAAATAATTTTCAATGATGTCTCATGTCAGCAACAGGCTAGCATATTGTCATATTTTATAGGAGAGACCTGAGGAGACAGACATAAGGAGAGAAGTGCAGGCAGGCAAGCAGAAAGCTGAACCAAACCATGCTGACCCAACGCTCATTGTCGTGCAGCAGCTTATCAACAAAACGTTACGATTCCAAGAAAAGTGGTACCGTGAATTTCCGTGGCTCCACTACAGTCCAGGAGTCAATGGAATCTTGTGTTTTTTCTGTGCTCAAGCTTTTGGGCACGGAAGATCAAATTTGGCCAAGAATGCAGATCCAACCTTTTGCAACACTGGTTTCCGAAACTGGAAAAAGGCAACTCAAACATTTGCAGAACATGTCCAAAGCAATGCACACAAAGTTGCTGTCACTACCCACTGCCAACAAACTAAACCAGTCGATGTCCAGCTTTCTTCAGCCAAAGCTGCACAGCAACAGGAATCAAGACGGTGTCTATTAAAAATTGTGAGCTCTGTACAGCTCTTAGCACGCCAGGGAGCTGCTCTTAGGGGCCATGCAGCTGAAGAGGGAAACTTAAGCCAGTTACTCAAAGTAAGATCTGAAGATGACCCTGGCTTAGAGAGATGGCTGTCAACAAGAAAACATGATTTCACATCCCCCCAAATCCAGAATGAAATGTTAAATCTATTTGCAAACACCATAATTAGGGAAATAATTAGCTCAATTTACAAGCTGCCTCTCCTCCAGTATTCCATTATTATCGATGGAACACAGGACATAGAAGGGACTGAACAGGAAGCCATTTGTGTGAGGTATGTAGACCATGATTTGGTCCCCCAGGAGGCCTTCTTGGGTTTTTACGAGGTCTCAAGCACAACTGGGGAAAACATAGCAAAAGTTGCCACAGATGTGTTGCTGCGCTTGAATCTTCCGCTGTCTGGTCTGCGTGGACAAACATATGATGGGGCAGCAAACATGTCAGGCGACAGAAAGGGAGCACAGGCCAGGATAAGGGAGATGCAGCCACTGGCTTTGTATGTACACTGTGGTGCCCACTGTGTAAATCTTGTCACCCAGGCTGCTTGTAAGGCTTCTTCCCTAACATCTGATGCTCTGGATTGGCTCCACAAGCTTGGATGTCTGTACAAATTGTCTGGCAAATACAAAACAAAATTTGTGAACATTGCAACAGCAGCATCAGGGACAGTTAGCAATATGCGGCCCTTGTGTCAAACAAGATGGACCACCAGGACTCCAGCAATCTGGTCTGTGCTACGTCAGTACGAGTCAGTGCTTCTGAGCTTAGAGGACATGGCCCAAACAGATGCCTCAAACACTGGTGTGACTGCAAGAG